AGCGGCTTGGTCAGATTTAGCATTCCCCTACGCCTAAAACGAGCCATCCCAGAGGTGGAAAGGAAGACCTCCCTGCCGTCAAGAAAGAAGAGCCAGAAGTGGAGTGTATCCTTTGGACCTGAAAGTCCTGTGCTGAGCTTCCTTGATCGAGGAGGCAGAGTTCAGCACCAGACATGATGAGATGGCAGGAAGGAATGCCGGAGGAGCAGCAGAGGGAGCAGGCTGGCAGGAGCTGGAGCAGTGGAAGTCCTGGCCCACAGAGCAAGAAAGGTGATGCTGGGGGAGTAGATTGCCTTGGAGTACTTAAGGGGGAGGGAGGGGGGCAGAGGAAAGCTAGATTGGCTAATAAAAGAGTAGAGCTGGGAGTCTTCCTGCAGAAAGGAGTGCCTTAGGGCATTTATCAGCACAGCTAAAAAGCTTTGTAAAGAAGGGTCTGACCAAGAGAGGTTAAGGCATGGGCATGGCTGGAGGCACTGCAAAGAAGATGCCATCCTGATCAAAGAACTGTAACCTGAGCATTCCTGAACCCAAACTGTGAGCTTTTACTACCTAGTGAACTCAGCGACTGTGAACATTGCCTGTGCATTCTCGTGGCCGTTCGGATGAATGATTTAACCCAGCAGAGAAGCCGAATGCTGTGACCCTAGTGTCAGAAAGAGTTTTAAAACGTTGGAAGGTCGAGGCAGCCCTGACCTCCTCTGTATAGGAATCAGCCTCTAGCGCATGGTCACGGTGATTCTCCTCTCCCTCTTTATGAAGCTGGAGGGAATCCGCTGCTGCCTCCATGCCATTCTCGCATGAAGTTCACAAATACTCATGATCACAATGCTGACTAAAGCAGAGACCCTAACAGAATCAGAGACTAGCAAAACACTGGCCAGAAGGCGAGCAGTCGTGCCTGCTTGCAGGGTGTGCAGGCAAAACCACGTGACTGAAGGCATCATTGTAATTGGGCAATGATGAGAGCTGCATGGAGCGCTTTACAGGGTCCCAAAGACAAGCAGGCCAGCGTCTTAGCCTCATACGTACATTAATTAATACTTGTCAGCCAGGCTTGGGAAAAACAATTTTGTTGTTATAGCTAAACACAGGGATATGTTTATTAAGAAGTAGGACATTTCTGCTGAAACACCACACCCCCCAAAAAAGAAAGAAAACTGTTTCTCTTCTGGCACAGAGTGAGTGAGCTAGAACATGGTCCTGGGCCCCGTACCTGGGTTCCTTCCACACTCCCACGCTGACGTCCTGTCTGTACGTCCTAGAGGTGATCTGTCCACTTGGCGTCCTCCCAACATCACATAGCCACGTAGAAGGCTGCCCGCAAGGCTTGGTAGTGATCATCCTCCCTACACCAAACTCATGCATTCATTTGGGCGAGTACGGTACGTTGTGTATACTATTTACCCATCCGCTCGTTAGCTCACTTGACAGTTCCTCGCTGCTCTAGAAATCAAATCTGGCATCCATTGAGCATGCTTGTCTGTGTTGTCACCCTAGCTCCAAGCCCCTCCTTTCTTCCCTGTAGGAGCCATAAGTGATCGCTTTCTCACAGTCATGAGCTTGAACCTGCCATCCTTGAGGGGGCCTTGGGGAGGTAGAATTATGGATCTCTGCACAGAGGAAAGGATGGCATATGAGAGTCATGGGAACAAAGCTGAGAAATTCTAGCATCTTTGTTGTTGTTGTTTTAATCATTATATTGGGGGCTCGTACAACTCTTCTCACAATCCATCCATGCATCCATCCATTGTGTCAATGATGATGGCACCAAATGTACAAATGTGCTTGACACAATGGAGAAATCTAGTAGCTATGATAACTTTTGGTTGGATAAATGAAGGCTTTAGATGACAAGGAAAGTCCCAAATCCATTTAGAGAGCTCCCCCCTCCCCTCTCCCCCCCTCCCCGCCCGCACACAAGGATTCAGCCGCCATGCTTTCCATTTGTTTCCATTTCTTACCCATTTTTTAACTTATTCTACTTATTATTTTTATTATGCCTTTTGGATTGAGGTTTTTAAAAATGTTTTATTTTGTTGTTGTTGGAATCTTTTTTTGTATGGTTTTCTTTATGCAAAACTCAGGATAGATATATACAGATATATATAAATATATATAAACTAGATGAATAGTTTCTTTGAGTTATAAATAAATAAAAACAAGCAAATAAGTTTAAAATGTTAAAAAGGGAGAGAGAGAGAAGGCTCACAGCCTTAAGAACTTGCCGTATTCCTTACTCTTCAGATCTAACCGCGGGGCTGGTGGCCATTGAAAGAGGAAAGTCGAACTGAGAGGACTGAGATCCTGCTGTGACAGACCAGTTAGTTTCAGACAGACAAGTAAGAATACTTTCTCAGTTACGGCAGGGGACGTTCGAGTACGACAGGGAGCTAATCCTAACAGACACAATAATTGGAAAAAAGGCCTAAAATGGATTGTGAGGCGAAATGCACAACTCTTTTAAATATATTTAAACCATTAAGTTATAAAAAAATGAATGAATAACTGAATAATATTTTGAAATGCTGGAACTCTTCAATCACAGACTCGGACCCAAAGTGATGGCGTAAATGGAAGCATCAGCACTTGTCATCTCATCTTGTGATGTTCAAGCAGAAGATCAATGCGTCTGGTTTAGGGCCAAGGGATAACACAGGCCAACACACATCTTGGCGCGTCAAGTGTTAGGCTTTTTCTGGATATAGTTGGCCTGCTGATTGCCACAATAGCGCAAGCTTTCGCCTAGCAGCTCTGGTTTTTGAGACACAGAGCATATGCCTTTACCACCCTTCCCCCTACTTGCCCATAAAAAAGCAGGCTAGTTTAATGTAGTGCTAGCTAGCAGGAAATAAAGGAGGTGCATGTTGGCTTTATTTAAAGTAGTGTGTGTTGTACCAAATATTTAGGTCAAGTTATACTTCACGTGGTCTCCTTTGATCCAAAGATATACAGTGAACCCTCGCCACTTCGCGCTTCGACTTCCGCGGCTTCACTCTATCGCGGTTTTTGCGTAACAGCGCATGCTCTGTCATTACTGCCACTGATTGGCTCATACTGTACATGCTTGATGCCATAAATAATATAATAAATGATAAATGATAATTGTAATGTCCAAAATGTTTTACTTTATTTTTCCTTTTTCGTTTAATAAATTGGGTAATACGAGTGTAATGGTGACTAAAGGGTGTTTTTTCATGTCCTCTATGCTCTAACTATGAAAATATTTGATTTAAAAATAAGGAATCCTACTTCGTGGAATTTCATTTATCACGGTAGGGTCTAGAACCGATTAACCGTGATAAACGAGGGTTCACTGTATTTGAACAGTGTAAGTTACATGAACTTGGAGTTTTCTCCCAGTATCACTTGGCTTTTCTTCGAAGTGAATAGCAGGCCATTCCAATTTGTTATCTTAAAAAGGGGCCAGTTCCCATACAATACATAAAGAGCCCTGACGAGTAGTGGGTTATGTGTTTGACTGCTCACCACAAGTTCGGCTCTTCGAGCCCACCAGCAGCTCTGCAAGAGAACGGTGAGCCTCCCTGCTCCACGAAGATTCACCACCTCAGGACCCAGGAGAAACTCAAGTCTGTCTTACAGGGTCACCCTGAGTCATAATCGACTGATGGGTAATAAGCCGAGTACAACAGAGAGCCAAAGGATCTGAAACCCAAAATGGATCTGTCGCGCCTTCAAGCTCCTTAACTAAACGTAAAATGTTCCAGCCTTGTTTTAAGATGGCACAACGTCGGTAGCTGTGTACAGAAACGTTTTTTTAATTAGAATTTTTCTTATTAAGAAGCTTGGAGTAACCTCACCTCTGAAGCATTTCACATGAATTGTCCACAGATAAGTCTATATGTTAAAATGTGTCTTGAAATATTTACTGCATAATTTGAAGAAGAAAAATTTCAAAACATTAATGGAAATTGCTATGAAGTCTTAAATTTTCAGTTCTCTAAATGGCTCTCACACCTTCCATAGGTGTGCTTTTTCCATTTCCTTTTTATTTTACACTCTTCTCAAGCTGTGTTCTGGCTTGACAGTATCCAGCTTGCAGTTTCTGCATACTGCACAGCCTCCCACTCCCAAGAGGAAAACTTGCTGCCATCTAATTGATTCTGACTCATGGTGACCCTACAGGACAGAGAAGAACTGCCCCCTGGAGCTTCCAAGCCTCTTTCAAAGGCTGTAGAGTCGCTGCTGGGTTGGAGCAACTACCCTTAGGTTGGGCAGCTCAGTGGGAACCAACTAGCCGCCATGGGTCCAGATATAGCTTTCCATGGAAGCCCCTTAATACCTAATTCTTTTAAAAATATTTATTACTTTTGTTGTCTTATCCTGTAACGTGTGGGTCTGACTTATTCTCATATTTAAAACTAGGATGATAAATTAATAAGTTGGTATATTAATAACTGAAAATATAGTGGAGCGCCCTATATAAGAAACCATAGTTGATGTGGTCTGTCCACTGCGATTTTTCTCAATTACTGCATGAAATAACCCAAGGAACAGACCTAAAAACCCTGACACCAAGAAAAACATACTTCCTATTCCATTGTAATAGAATCCTGGGATTAAAAGAAAAAAATCACAGAACCAATGGAGTGTTGGAATCGCAGATTCCCTAGATGAGCCATCCTGGAGCTGCGGCACCCTCCGCGGCTGGAGTCCTAGCTCTGGGCCCTGGCTCATCCTCCTGTTAAATGAGAGTGCCAAGCCCCGCCCACAGTTTCCCTCCAACCGTGGTTCCACTCTGTTGTATGAGAGGCAGATTGCACGAATAATTTGTAGATGGCCCTTCTGTTCTCACCCTTCTTAGGCAGTGTCACCCCTACACCGGAGCCACCCAGTGACAGGACTCTTTGGGAGGCCTAGTGAACCCACTGCAATTCATTTATGGGCCTCGGGGCCTCCTGGAATTTGTGGGGCTTTTTATTATGCAGCCCATCATAACCTGGAAGTGTCTTCTAACGCCCTGTTTCTTGCTCATGTTTCAGGTTGTACCATCTTTGAAAACTGCAAGACTTGCCGCAACGGCTCCTGGGGGGGCACCCTCGATGACTTCTACGTGAAGGGGATCTACTGCGCCGAATGCCGGGCAGGCTGGTACGGGGGAGACTGCATGCGTAAGTAGACAGCTGGAGAAGCCCTCCTCCTCTCCTCCTAGTATTGGCCGTTTTCAAGGCTCCGCTTGCAAAAGACCAGGGTTTATCTCCCTGGAATCTGAGTTCTGGAAAGCTTGTGGCCCGAGGCCTTTCTGGGTAAAGGGAGAGATCAATAACGCAGGCATGTTTCCATAGGCTGGGTGTGGGTAGTGGACCTCGGTTTGGACTTGCTGGCCCAAGGTGGATTTTATCTGGTCTTAAATCTCCCCTTTCCCCTAAGTGAAGCCAAGGCTTCTGCACACGATTTGCGTTATGTTCCATCCAGAAGCAGTTGCCTGGTAGCCTCGGGCAGCACACTGCAGCTCAGGCTTCAGACATGTTAAGACTGTAGGGTATTTTATTCATTAACTTTTAAACATTGTCCTACCGTTTGACTTCTTTCTTAAATAAGATCATATTTTGTGCCAAAGTTCACGCAACAAACGAAGGCCTTGGTTAGCAACTTTTATTCAAATTGCTCTGGGCCCGTGGTTGCAGTTTTCACAATGTGTCAGCACGCTCATTACTTCTCTTCTGCTTGCTCTTTTTCTCCTGGTCTAGCTTCCCTTTCCCTCCTGCCTTTTCCTCTTTGCTTTTGGGTACATGCCGACTTGGTTTCCTATAGTTTATTGTTTCCTGTGGTACAGTGGTTCTCAACCTGTGGGTCGTGACCCCTTTGGGGGTCAAACTACCCTTTCACAGGGGACACCTACGACCATCAGAACACACATATTTCTGATGGCGTTAGGAACTGAGACACCGCTCCTCTATCCGTCCTCAGGCGGGTCTGCCCACATGCAGGTACGCCCACCTGGCATGAAGACTGTTACCCATGCTACACCATGCTTCAAGACAAAATTTCATTTATTTGTCATTAGAAATAAATGTTTCACAGTATATAATTACATATTATTTTTGTGATTAATCACTATGCTTTAATTACATTCACTTTGTAACAATGAAACTACATCCTGCATGTCAGATACTTAGATGATGATTCATCACAGGAGCAAGATTACAGTGATGAAGTAGCAACGAAAATCATTTTATGGTTGGGGGTCACCACCACATGAGGAACTGTATGAAAGGGTCCTGCATTAGGAAGGTTGAGTACCACTGCTGGTTGCCTATAGTTCATTGTTTTAGAGAGCACGTTATTCCTGGGCGATACTGTTTATTTTATAAGCGCATCCATTATTTCTGTGACAGGATACACCTGGACCTCCATATGCGCTTATTCGCATATGCCTTTCTATACCCATGCATACACCCCTGTCGACTTATGGAGCCACACATATGTATTTTTGGTTGTTTTTGCTGCTCTTACAAAATTGAATATTCTGGCATTACTGAAATGCCTCCTTTTCCTTGTCTGGGAGCTTCTTAGTGTCGCTGCTTATGTTGGTCAAGTCCTGCTGACTGCACCCTTATTTGACCTTTCATATCATGATCCAAAGTCATGTCTCCTCACTAGAAGCAAGTCCTCTCCCCTTTCCCTCCCATCCACAATGACCGTCAAAGAACTGTGCTTCCTCTTTCTCTATAAGCAAATGTGGTGAAGAAAGCTGATGGTGCCCGGCTATCAAAAGATATAGTGTCTGGGGTCTTAAAAGCTTGAAGGTAAACAAGCGGCCATCTAGCTCAGAAGCAACAAAGCCCACATGGAACAACATATCAACCTGTGTGATCACAAGGTGTCGAACGGATCACTGAAGACAAATGGGTGCATAAGCAAATGTGGCGAAGAAAGCTGATGGTGCCCGGCTATCAAAAAGTATAGCGTCTGGGGTCTTAAAGGCTTGAAGGTAATCAAGCGGCCATCAAGCTCAGAAGCAACAAAGCCCACATGGAAGAAGCACACCAGCCTATGCAACCACGAGGTGTCGAAGGGATCAGGTATAAGGCATCATCAGAACAAAAAATCTTACCATAGTGAATGATGGGGGGGAGTGCGGAGTGGAGATCCAAAGCCCATTAGTAGGACACTGGAGATCCCCTTGCAGAGGGGTCTCGGGGAGGAGATGAGCCAGTCAGGGTGCGATGTAACAACGATGAGAAATACAACTTTCCTCTAGTTCCTAAATGTTTCCTCCCCACTCCCACTACCATGACTCGAATTCGACCTTGCAAGTCTGGCTAGATCAGAGGATGTACACTGGTACAGATAGGAACTGAAAATACAGGGAATCCAGGGCGGATGAGCCCTATAGGACCAGTGGTGTGAGTGGCGAAACAGGGAGGGTAAAGGGAGAATGGGTAGGAAAGAGGGAACCGATTACAAGGAACTATATGTGACCTCCTCCCTGGGGGACAGACAACCGAAAAGTGGGTGAAGGGAGACGTCGGGCAGGGCAAGATATGACAAAATACCCATTTATAAACTATCAAGGGCTCATGAGGGAGGGGGGAGCGGGGAGGGAGGGGAAAAATGAGGACCTAATGTCGGGGGTTTAAGTGGAGAGAAAATGTTTTGAGAATGATGTACAAATGCGCTTTACACAATTGATGTGTGTATGGATTGCGATAACCGTTGTATGAGCCCCTAATAAAATGTTTTAAAAAAAATAGGTGACACAATATTTGTCTTTTGGTAATTGACTTATTTCATTCAACATCATGACCACATTATAAAATGTTTCTCCGACACCTCATTATTTTAGTTGTGTAATATCCCATTGTGTATTTACCCTAATTTATCAATTCATTCATTGAATAATGATTCAATGAACTTAGCTGTGCATGTGTTTATTTGTGTCATTGCTCATACATCTCTAGGATATAGAACTAGAAGTGGGCTTGCTGGATTATAAGGCATTGTTATTTCTAGTACTTGATGTCACACCATAGTGTTTTCTGTGGGGGTTGTACCATTTTACACTCCCGCCAGCCACAGGAAACCATTCCAATCCCCCTCCAACCTCACTAGCATTTGATGTTTTTCTGGCTTTTTGATGACTGCAAATTTTACAGAGGGAGATAGTATCTGAGATGGCATTTCTCTAGTGACTAATTATCATGAACATCTTTTCATGTATTTGTCAACTACTTGAATCTTGTTTATGGTGAACTGCTTGTGTCCTTTGCCCAGTTAAAAAAAATGGTTTATTTGCCTTTTAGTGGTAGGATTGTTTGTCTTTTAGTGGTTGAGTTGTTGATGTTTTCTATATATTTCAGAGATTAGATCCTTATGTAATATGTCTTTGCCAAATATTTTTCCAGTCTGTGGATTCTGCTTTTACTTGTATAGTAATGACTTCTGGTACACACAATTACTGCATTGTTAGGAGCTGCTAGTTATTTAATTTTTCCGGGGACTGGTCTCTCCTGGTAACATATCCAAAGTATGCAAGACAAAGTCTCTCCATCCTCGCTCCTAAGGAGCATTCTGGCTGTACTTCTTCCAAGACGGATTTGTTTGTTCTTCTGGCAGTCCGTGGTTCTTCCCTGGAAAGGGCATCATGCTTGGTAAAGGATAAAAGAGAGAGCGGTCCTTAATGAGAAAGATTGACACGGTAGTTAACACAATAAACTCGAGTATAAAAGTGAGAATGACAGAGGACCAGGCAGTATTTCGATCCATTGGACAGGGAATTTCTTTGGGTTGGAACTGACTTGGTGGTATCTAACGAAGACAGAACAAGCTATCTTATCTACCTTCTGTCTGCGCATGTTTTAATTTGATAATCTAATGATAGTTATGTAGTAATCGACTACCTCAGCTGGTTTGGGTCCTGTGTTATTTTCTAGGTGCTTTATAGCTTTAGCTTTAACAGTTAGGTCCTTGGTCCAGTTTCGGACAGTATTACAACTTGGCATTGACTATGAACCCTGATGTTCTTTCCAGCATGAGGCCATCCAGTTTTGCTAGGATCATTTGTTAGAGAGATGGTTTCTTCCCCATGGAATGGACTTGGCCCTTTGGTGAAGGTCAGCTGTGCATTGTTGTTGTCTTTGTTCGGTGCTGCCAAGTCAGTTCTGGTGCATCGTGACTTCATGGACAGCAGAGAAAAGTACTGCTTGGTCTTGCACCCTCCTCACCTGCTTTCCATGTTGGCGCCCATTGTTGCAAACACTGTGTCCATCAGTCTTAGTGAGGGCGTTCTTTGTCGCTGAATGTGTTCGTCTGGGAACTTTAGAGAAACAAATCCACAGAAACTCATGGATAAGAGAGAGTTTTAGATAAAGGTTAGATGTGCATCAAGAAAACATTCCAACCCAGTGCTGCCCAAGTCCACAAGTCCAACATTAACCCATTAACCCATATGTCCAACACCAGTCCACAAAGTCCTCCTCCATCTCACAAAACACACACTATGATGCCGACTGCAGGAGGAAAGCCAAATCAGCGAATGTGTCAGCATCTCAGTGCTGGCAGGGGTGTCCACACGGCTGCTCCAGCACACAGGGCTGCATCAGGGTGGGTCCATGTGGCTTCTCCTTGGGGATGTCTTGCAGGAAGTCAGCCTCTCAAGCTAAAACAGGGAACTGGCTAAGGCAGCTGCACCCTGGTGCGACCATCACAAAGCAAGAGACCCGAGAACTAGAAAGGCGAGGCTCACCGAGCCACTTATCCCTCTGCCCTTAAATTAACCTCGCATGTGTTTATCGGCCAGGTTGGCACAATAAACTAACAACCTCACTGAACTTCTGCTTTACAAGTTTTTCTGGGGACTGGTCCCTCTTGGTCTTGTGTCCAAACTACATGAGATAAGTCTTACCCTTCTTGGTCCTAAGGAGTGTTCTGGCTGTACTACTTCCAAGTGGCTTGTTTATTCTTTTGGTAGTGCATTAAATATTCTTCATCGATACCATAAATTAATTGGGCTCTGAATTCTTTGCCATTAGTCTGTAGTTCTGTTATCGAACCAATATCAGGCTTTTTAAATTTTATTATTACCATGGCTGTACAGTATGTTTTGAAATCAGGAAGTGTGAGGCCTCTTATTTTGTTTTTCTTCAAAACGGTTTAGCTATTTAGGGCC